GTATATATGACAGCAAGGTAGTGACTCATCATGATAAGCACAATAGGACTATCTTGTTTCAACGTCTGCTCTGTTTTGGCTTAGCAAAGGCTGAGCTTAAAAACACATCTTAAAGAAAAACTTGTAATGTACCAGAGAAGAATGGCAAGGAATCTGCTTTTAAGTTTACCATCCTAATTATTTATACGTTAATTGATTCATTTAGACACATCCTACGAGTAATTTTTGACAACAGTTGAACAGCATAATTATGTTAATTATGTCTTCGCACACTGGGGCCGGAGGCATACTGTTCTCTGGCTGTCTGTGTGTTAGTGTGGTGTCTGTCCATCACGGGGGGTCTTGTATGAACAATATCTCCCGAATGAAATTACATATATATTTACTTATAAATAGGCATATTAACTCTGATTGGGTTATAGTCTGATTAGATTTGGGCATCAAAGGGTCAAAGGTCAAGGTCATTTATGAAGATTTGTAATATAAAACTGGCATTTTCTTCTAATTCCTCAGGAATAAAAATAATATACCTGGTTTCCTTTGACAAAATCTCCAGTACAATGGTTTGTGCATACATGCTCATGCTAACATCTGCACAAAGTTGTGCTTCAAAGGCAGATGTATCTAAGGCAGGCGGAGACATACCAATTGACGCTTTGGCATCGAGCTCTACCTTGTTTCTGTTTGATCTAAAACCTCATGAGGGAAAAACACGTATTAAAAACAAGTTGTCTGATAGAGACGTTAAAATAATTATACAAAASATTACAAACAGACTTGATGAGATCGATTAACTTGTTTCCCATTTGTTTCTCCATGTGAAAGTAAAAGTAGAATTCGCATAACAAATGTGTTTCATAGTTTGTGTGGAGTTTCAGTTTAACATTGACAAAGGCAGAGAGTAAATAAGCACACGTTAAAGCTGAAATCAAGCAATACATTTTAAATCTTTTAAGCTGGAGTTGTACTTAAATGCACTGGAATTGAACAGGTTTGAGCAATAAAATCCATTAGATTCCCTTCATCAATGTATCAAACTGTTTAATACAGTGCTTTAGATTCAATACTCACTATGTATCAAAAAATACCGTTTTTTAAATTTTGTTTTATCAACTTGTCTTCTGAAGATGCGTGTTGAAGGCTCAGAGGATCTGCGTTCGACTCCTCCTCCTAGGCTACACTGTCGAGCGAAGATCCACTGAGAAACTTGCTGTTTCAGCAACATTTAATTTAAAAACTACTTTTGAAGTTAAAAAATGTCCATTTTCAATGTCAATAAATTACAAGTTAAGAAGGGCATGAAAATTGCTCTTTTTTGGATCAAAAAAAATATCAAACGRTGAGACTAAAGGATTGAACCGAACCAAATCATGAATTTTCTGTATTGTTGCACCCCTAATCTAAATAGTTCAGTGGTCTGTTCTAGTGTTACTGGGGATCAATGAATCTTATGGCTTGACAAACAAAGCTGTTCTTGACAGAGTGGATTGGATATTTTAAAGCATGTAAAACGATAATAAACCCCATTTTTATTTTGCAGAAAAGAGCAACAAGTTATTACTAGAAAACACTACAGTCACCCAAATATTTTGTTTTGTCAATTGGAATTATTAAAACTTCATGAGTTGGTTGATTACAGTATTCTACAGCTTATGTTTAAGGCTCATAAAAACATGCTACCTTTGAATATACAGTTAAATTTTGTTAAAAGAGAAAGCTCTTATAATTTAAAGGGGAAATGAAATATTTGTGAAGCACAGATTTCGAACAAGTTTGAGGGACCGGTGTACGTCGATAAAGGGAGTGAAATTGTGGAATGATCTGGAGAGTGATGTTAGAAATGCTGGATCATTTAAAAGAATGATTAAACTTGGTTTATTGAACAAATATAAATTAGAATAAGGGGTATTTATG